TCTTTATATTATGATTTAATATCAATTTTGCATCAATATATTACATCTTTAGATTGATATCAATAAAAAATATCTTATTTTGATTAGTTGCTTTTGTTTGTTGTTTGAAATATAGGTGTGCCTATATGATATTACTATGTTAATTGATATAAAAAGTGTTATAAATTAACTGCAATACAAAAATTAATTTCATTATGAAAACTAAATTTTTAAAATATGATTAAGTTAACTAATAACTCAATCAAGTTAAGGTTATCAATATCATATTATTTTTAGGTAAACATAATTTTAAATATTATTATTGCAATTTTGATGTCTTATTATTTTTATTTTCTCTTTTCAATATGTTATCCTTGAAATTAAATAAATTTGACTTTTTAGATTATCTATTTTGGAAAGATCAATTAAAAAAAATAAAAAAATGTATAATGTGTAAAAAAATGAAAAGAATGTGCAATGATTTGCAAATTGAAAAGAGGCACAAAATTAGCCCAACTAAAAATAAAAAGGTGCACAAAGTGTGCCAAAAAATATTTAAAAAGATAAGCAATGTCGCCAATTGATAATGTTCTTTTCTTTATCTTTTAATCTTCAAATTCAAATTAATCTAATTTTTAATTATATTTTATATTGAAAATTGAAATTATCTAATTTTCATTTCGTCACTTTTGAAATAATTCTTTTAATCTAATTGTCTAGAATGCTTTATGAACTTGATTAATTTTTTTCTTATCTATGTTATACTTTAATTTATATATTTTGAATCTTTCTTTTTTATTTAATGATTATTAACTTTGTTATTGCTATTATAGTTCAATCTCTTTCAAGATCAATTATTAAGGTTTCTCAGATGACTTCTTCCATTTCACCTGTCTTTCTTCCCTTTTTGTTGAAGACAAAAGGGGGAGTAATATTATTTGTTTGGTTCGGTGATTGATTTTATTTTTGTGACTGTGTTTTGAAGTTGTTTTTGTGTTTAGTGTTTTTATTTTTATTTTTGTGACTATATTTTGAAGTTATCTTTGGGTTTAGTGTTTTTTTTTTTATTTGTGAAAATTTTTAAAAAAAATTGTTCTTCAAGGAATTCCTTTAAATTCATATGTTTATTCTTTTAGGGGAAGCTAAGGAGAAATTTTGAGTATATAGGTTCACTCAAATAATAATTATTTTGACATCATTAAAAAGGGGGAGATTATTGAGATTGTTGCAACTTAGTTCTTGATTGTTGATATTCTTGCAATATGTTTGTTTTTGATGATTCCAAATAAGATTGTTTTGATTATTATTTCTTCTAACATAATCTGGATGCATTGTTTTGCTGTTCGTATGTACTAACATTTCAGGAAAATTATACTCTGGATTATTGAAGACTTCAAATCAGACCAGTTTATGGTTTATTGTATATAAAGTATATATTTTTCATTTTCTTGAGTTTGAGAGAGTGTGATTGTAATTGAGTAATCGTGCACACACACACGGAGGGATAGATTAAACTTTGAATTTTTTTAAACTAATCATACTATATGAATTAACTTCGTATGGGATGATTTATTCAGATATTTTCTCTGATGAGCAGTCAAACAAACAAAAATGAAAATTTTTCTAAGTACTAATCGTACTATATGATCACATTACGTACTTGCCTTCCGGAGTACAAAATGGATGAGTCCCTAATCACTCAAGAAGATTTTTTTCTAAGTATGGATCGTACTATATGATCACATTTTGTATATGCCTTCCAGAGTACGAAATAGTGAGATCCCTCTTCGTCCCTACTTTTCATCCAGAAGAATTTGAAAAATTTCTGAACTATTCGTACCATATGATATCATCTTCGTACGTACACTGTTTAGAGTACGAAATATATGGGTCCCTTTTCATCCCTCCGAACATGAAAATTTTTATAACTGATCGTTCCGTATGATTTCATCATCATACGTACGCCATTCAAAGTACAAAATTATGGGGACCCTCTTCGTCCTGACGAAGATGAAAAAAATTTTAACTATTGATCCTGGACGAACTTGTTTCATATTGGATGATTCGTATCGGATGATGATCATGTATGAAATGATTTCATATCAATGCACAACATGTTTGTATGCAATAGTCTTAAAACTATTTGTACATATGAAATCTGATCATACTGTACGATCATGTATGCTCAAATTTAAAAATTTTAATTTTTTGGATGGTTTTTCGTGTCTTATATATTAAAGGTCCACTAAAAACTGATGTAAAAAATTTTGTCTACATGATTTTTCAAGTGCAATTGAAAGAGAGAGTGTTTGAGAGAGATTTCTTGTAAGAGGAGTGTGAAGGGTTCACAAGGTTACTCAAAGGTAAGGGTCTCTTTGTGATTTTTGTTTTCACTCTTCCTCTTATCTTTCTAGATTGCTCGTGAGAAGATCTTTAAAGAAGACCCAATCCTCTGCTGACACTTGGAGAGTGTGAAAGGATATTGGTTCTCTACTAACACTTAGAGAGTATGAAAGGATGATAGTTCTCTGCCGACACTTGGAGAGTATGAAAGGATGATAGTTCTCTACCAACACTTTGAGAAATGAAAGGATGATGGTTCTCTGCCACACCAGAGATTGGTGGAAGAGAGTTTTTGTAAAGGCTTCAAACCTTATTGTGGGGGAAAAAGGAGAGACACTTTGGTAATAGTGAAATAATTGAAGATGGAGTCTTCAGGGAGTGGATGTAGGTCGTGTTTGACTGAACCACTATAAATCTTTGTGTCTTTTAAATTTCCACATTTATTTACTGTAGGTTATTTTTCTATGTTTGAAAAATTATTTTAAAACTTTAATTAACTTGCTACGAAACTTAAAGGTTCTTAAATTTAAAATCCAAGAGTAATTTTTAAAAAATTTCCAATTCACCCCCCCTCTTGGTTAGCCTTGGGACAATAGCTTAACAACCTATTCAAGATTCAACATCATTCATATTGGCATATGTAATGAGTTTAAAATATAACGGAGTCATATTGGTTCCTTTCAAGTAACTTCAGTTGGGATGGGTTAGATGGTATGTTTATTCTAATCTTCTGAAGCTAGGGATACTGTTTTAATTGGAGGGCCTTGGTTTATTGGTGGGCATGTAATTGGGTTAGATAGGTGGTCTATTTGTTTCTCTCCTTCTATGAATGGGATTATCCTATTTAGGGTAGATTTCATCATCTTCCTACTCATTATTGGGATGAAGGGAATATTACTAGAATAGCTTCTAGGCTAGGCCTACCTATGTTAATTCATGCTTATTCTTCTAATTGGGAGAGAAGGGAATTTGCAAGGATTTGTGTTTGTATTAATTTGGATGATAAACTACCTACTGGGGTTTGGGTTGAAGGAATTCATGGAAGTTTTTTTTAGAATTTAAAATATGAAAGGGTTTCAAATTTGTGTTTTAATTGTTGAAGATTGGGATTATGTAAATGTTTGTTATAAGGATAAGAGTGAATTTATTATTAAATCTAATAATGCTCCACTACAGAAGCTATGGGAAGAAATTTTGGATAAATGTAATTTTTTTAGTAAAGGTTTATCTTTGGAAGATGGTAATGTTAAAAATTCAAAGGTGTCAAATGAAGGCTCACATGGACCTTAGATCTAGGTCACTAGTAAGTGGAATACAAAAAAATATCATATTGTGGCCTATCTTGAGAAATCTATAGTGGTTCAAAAAACTTTTACTCATGTTAAAGCTCATGGTGCGGGTTCTTCTGCTACTGATGCTTATATGTTGAAGAGTAAACAAAGCAAATTAGATTCACATAATCTATCTAAAATTCCTACACTAACAATTCAAGGTAATATTAATGTTAGAGTGAAAATTATTCACTAGAGAGGGACATTATGTTGGAGGTGGATGCTGTTATTCACAAACACAAAAAGAGTGATGATGAAGAGGTGTATTCTATAGTTGGCATTATAGGGGAGATTGACATAATATTTTTTTATATGATGTAACACTTTGCATGTAAATGCTGTGGCACTTCAAATTCTAATGCTGCGGTACTAGTTCAATTTTTACTACAGTAAATTTTCTAAAAAAAACTTTCATAATTTAGTCAAAATAAAATTAATGATTTTATAAATAATACAACACACAGTATAAATTATAAAACCATATAAACATAAAATTATAAAACAAATTACAAAAAAAAAAAAAAAAAATTGGTTGCCTCCAAATACAACACTACATTTATAGTCTTCAGTCAAACTTGCCTAAATATGTCACTTTGGCTATAATGAATCAACATCACTCTCAAGTGATTGCCACTATACACTTTTATTTTCTCCTTTGGATTAATTTTAGTATTATTGGGAAAAGTTCGATGAGGTTTATAATTAAAATACATTACAAGCTATCTTAATTAAGTTTCTACATTTTTTATTGAAGTAACTTGAAGTTGCAACTTGTTTTCAAACTAAATAACAACCTATTATAAAGGTAATCTAAATTTATTATTTTGGTTAAAATTTGGAGGATTTGAAGGTCTAGGATTTACTACAGGTTGCTAAGGATTATTCCAATTTCCTACTTAATTAAATTAACTTGCATTCTACTAATTGTTGCCACAAATATTATTATTTTACCAACTAAAATTAGGGTAGTTCCTCCAAACTAGATTATATGTATTAAAATAGGAATTTCTATGCCTTCAAATCATATTCACATTATCAATCCCTAGTCATAAAATTATGCTCTTGTAATTACATAAATGATCGTTATCCTGAACTAACCCTAGTAGTATCTAATTTTTTAAGAAATTGAAGCTACCTGAGAAATCAAAATTGATAAAAAATCTAATTCATAAACCTCTATTACTCTGTTAGGATTCATCTAATTAAGGATTCATTAAAAATTATTTGTAGAAAATTCCTTTCATCAAATGGCTTAGACATTAAAGATCCTCCAACTACTGCATCTTTTATTGACTAAGGGATCCAACCAATCTATTATAAAATGTCTAAAAAACAAACCAAGTAGGTAAAACATGATGAGAACATTTTTAAAGCATTCCTTAAATATCTTCCAAGTTTCATAAATTGAATCTCTATCAATATGGGTAAAAGATGAAATATCATTTCTAAATATACACATCCATAGATCTTTGTTTAGTTGTGGATAAAATCATATGCTTACCAAGATTTCTATCAAGATTGGAAGGGTGAAAAAGGAAGTTTATAGCCTTCCTTCAATTATAATTTCTCCATAAAATCTTAAAAGTTTAATTACCCATGTCTAAGTATACTAATATTCAATTTTAATACTCCTATTTATTCAAATATTTATCCATCAATATAATATATCATGCTAGATATTAACATTATACATGTCCATTGTATTCTTTAAATTAAGATGCATAAGAGTCTACATCAGTACCCACTATGTATTTAAATCATTATACCAAAACTCAGAAATTTAGTCAGACATAGATCACACAAAAAGCAATATCATGTTCATTTCATTCAAATAAGATAAATATATAGTAGAAATCTCACTAGGAAGGACCAATATATATTCTTCACACTCGTTCTTCCTCCAATAATAGAACAAGCTAACACTTCTAAATACAAATATCTTATCCTTCACTAGCTTTTCTTTGGTTTTACTGTAAGATAGAACTAGAGAAATACACTCAATAGTATAAGACTCCACTAAGGATGATAAAACATTGGTTAGAAAAAGGGAAGCTAGAGAGAGAAGCTCTCAATTTTTTTAGAGAGAAGACAATTTTCAAATTTTGGATTTGCGTGATTTCAGGTTTGCACCAATGACGATAGAGGGTCACCATCCTCTGTCGGCTAATTATACTTTTTATGGTTTCCATCCATCTTTTACTGGTGCTCGATTTCTATCTTGATCGAATTCTGTTTTGTCTCCACCTACTTTTGGAGATGTTAGTTATGGGTTTGAGAAGATGCAAGGATGAAGTATAAGTCAAGAATGCCTTTGATCATTAACAAAGGAGGTTTATTGGTTCTTAAAAAAAACCAATTGAATATTTAGGGAAAGGTAAGAATTTTTGGTCGACACCTTTCCTAATACCCCAAATAAGCCTGGATTTGTTCTAGCATCTAAATTTGATTTTAAATCAAATAATGGTGATTCTTCTTCTTCTGGCTCGAAGATTGCTTTGAATGGAGTTGGCATTTTTAATCTTATTAACATTGCTACTGATATTCCAAAAGTTATGGATTTTACTAGTTTAGGATCGAAGATGGTCCATATTTCATAGATAGAGGTTGAAAATATGGACTTTGATGGCTGTAAATCTAATTCAAAGACTTGAGAGGCTAGCTTAGATCAGTCGGTGACTGATCTAGAGAAGGTCCATAAGTGTGAATAAGGTGATATGGGAAATTGTAATGTAATTAATAACTAGATGGCTACTCCAAAAAAATAGTCGATTAATGTGTTGATGAATTCTTGGAGTAAAAAGTCAAATATCAAAGTTAAGGATCTATACTATGGCAATTGTTTGATTGAGGATAGGTCTGTGGTGAAGCTGCATTCATAAAATGAATTAGAAAATTAAAAAAAAAAACTTTAAAATTCATTGATGATTAAAGTATTTGGTGAGAATGTTCCCTTTCATGTGATAAGTATGGAATTGAGGAGGCAATGGACTCAATTTGGTAGATTTCATCAGACATTGCTTGGAATGGGCTAGGTACTTCTAGAATTTTATGAGTTAGAATCATTGGAGTAAGTCTTATCTAGTGGTCCATAGTTATTAAATGGACAGATCATTGGAATGGATAGATGGTCGCCATCCTTTTCACCAATTTCATTAAAGGGGTTATTAGCTCCTGTATGGATTAGGATGCTAAAACCTCCCATTATAATGTTGGTATGAAATTAATGTATGCAAGATTGCATCCATGGTTGGTACTTTGTATTTGATTGATGGGAACATGTTTCAGTGGGGGAGAAGGGAATTTGCCAGAATTTGTGTTTGGATCAAGCTAGATGGTAAGCTTCCTTTGGTTGTTAGGGTGGAGGGAAGCTCAGGTAGATTCTTTAAACGAATTGAGTATGAAAGAATATCTAACTTCTGCTTCAACTGTGGTAAGATAAGGCACTTAAAGATGAATTTTATGGATAATTATTTAGAGGCTAATCATGCTTCTAAGGAAATAAAGAATTTGGATAGCAATGCTATTCTAGTTGAGAAGGAAGATTTAGGAGTTTCTAAAAGGGTTGTGTTTGATGTTGATGATGCTAGTAAAGCTGGGTAAGGACCTTGGGTTCATGTCAATTATGGGAAGAGAAGGTTTAAAAACTTTAACTTAAAGAAAAATGGGTCACATCCTGTAAAGGAGGATGCTGCAAAGGTGTCTGGAGTTATGAAACCTTATGTTGTTGAAAGTGAACATGTTGATGCTAAGATGGCTAACGGAAGAGGTGATTTAGACTCTCTGCCTAGTAGCATGCTGGCAGATGAGGACAACCCAGATTTGTCTTTAATTCAAAAAAAGTATATTGCATCTTCCTACTTCAGATGTTGGAGTGAGTATGATCTCGATCTCTTATAATTTTCCTAATAATGAGAGTAGATTTGATGTCTTAGATAAAATTGTTGAGGAAGGGGAGATAAGTGTCCTTAATAATGATGTGGTAATGTTTCCTGATAATTCTATTGATAAGGGAGACATTGATGATGGGTCTTCAAATAATATAGCTAATGTTATGAATGGTGAGTTAAGGTGGTTCTTATAATGTCAAGAAGAAAAGTTCTAGACAATTGAAGGGATTTGGCCCTATCAAATTGGCTCCTAGGAGTAGGAGATTAGATGGTAATCAAAAGGAGAAAGTGGGGATCTCTTCCCCTATTCTTCAATGATGTTTTCTATAGCTTTCTAGAATTGTAGAGGAGCTAAGAAGAGGAAAGCTTCTCTATATCTCAAGGAGATTTTAAAGGATCATGACATCTTTTTTCTAGGGTTGCTGGAAACTAAATTGACATCTATTGATAGGAGGGATGTCAATTTGTTGATTGGTGCTGAATGGGATTATATTTGAGTTCTTTTAGAAGGTTTGTCAGGAGGATTTTTTTGAGTTATGGAAGAATAATATGGCTTCTTTTAATGTTTTGGAATCTTCTCCCCAATTTGTAATTAGAGAGTTAGATGTTCTCAATGAAGGAAGGTGGATATTTGGTATATCTATGGGAATAAGAATGTTTACAGAAGAAGGATTCTTTGGGAGAAGTTGGAATTATATTATATCAAAGACTTGCCTATGGTGATGGGTGGAGATTTCAACTGTTTGCTTTCTAAGGAGGACAAAAAGGGAGGGAGAGGATTTATTTTTTCCTAAGGACCTAAAGAGATAAAGTCTATTTTGGCTTATAATGACTATCATTAGGTTAGGTATGTAGGGCCAAAGTTCACTTGATGCAATAATAAGACTGGTGCTAATCGGATCCTAGAGAGACTGGATAGATGTTTTTTGAACTCAGCTGAAATAAGTTCTTCCCATTGTATGGTGGTTAGGTATCTTCTAGGAGTAGCATCGGATAACTGCCCAATCCTTTTAAATTTGTTGGAATTAAAACCTATGTCTAAGAGAGCAATCAAATTTGAAGATGTATGGGCTTCTATCCCGGCTTATGCTGCAGTGGTGAGGGAGGTTTGGAGGAAGAATATTTTTGGAAGTTTTTCTCAAATTTTTAACTACACAATGAAAAGAGATTTGAAAGCTTTGTTTTTCTGGTGAAAAGCCAAGCTTAAAAATTTAACTCAATTGAAGGAAGGCCTTAAGAAGGATATTTTGGAGCAACAAGAAAAGAAGTAGAAAATGGATGTCTTTCGGTTGAAGATAGCTGGTCCCTAAAAGCTAAGGTTAATGAGGTGAATTCAACTTTATTAACCTTAGCTTGGCTAAACACTTGGTGGAGGCACTGTGCAAAGGTCAAGTGGTTGGTGAAGGGTGATTGTAATTCCAATTTTTTTTAGGCTTTTACTAGTGCAAGGAGGAACTATAATTACATTTTCAAGATCAAATATGAAAATGGGCTTTTGGTGGTGGATCAACACCAGATTGAGGATTTTCTATTTTGGTTCTTCAAGGAGAAGTGGAGAAATGAACTGCATTCTAGATGGTGGGGCATTTCCTTGGAGATGGTTGGATGGAGATGAAATAAGAATCTTGAATAAAGATTTCTGCTTAGAAGACGTAGAGGAAGTGGTCAAGCAGGCTGGTGGAATTATTGCTCCAGGTAATGATGGAATTTCTTATTCCTTTAGTAAATTTTATCAGGCCATTATTAAAGAAGAGTTTTGGAAAGCAATTAATCATTTCTTTCATATGGGGAAATGTGTGATAGTGGGAAAGACTTTAATTGTGCTGATCCCTAAGGTGAGAAATCCTACATCTCCTATAAATTATAGACCCATTAGTATGTGAAACACTATTTATAAATTGGTTGCCAAGGTTCTTTTCAATAGATTGTCATTTGTTATTCATAAATTCATTTCTGAAGAGCAAGTGGCTTTTTTGAAAGGAAGGTCACTGTTTGATTATGTTCTGGAAGCACAGGATAAAAGTTTGTTAGGGATATTAAGCTCTATGAACCGGCCCAAGACTAACCAAGAGGGGGGGGGGGGTGAATTGGTATTTTAAAAATTCTTACAATTAAAACACAAAACTCAAACCAAGATTCACCACAACATAAATCAAAGAACTCCTTTTTGCCAACCCCGGAGAGGAAGAGAACCCAACTCCTTTTGCTTCCTTCTGAAGTAGGCAGAGAATCATGATCAATTATTGTAGCTCACCTCTCTCAACCCTTCCAAAGACAAGAGAATCTAGTGGAAGAAGAAGTGGAATGATGTTTGGAGAAACCCTTATGAATTCCCCTCACAAAATCCTCTCTCTCCCTCTTCTTTACGCTTTCTCAGGTCAAGACAACAGCAAAATATCTCTTCTAAGGTGGAGCAAGAGATCTTAAATAGAAGAGCTTCAAAATAGCTCTTATTTTATACAAACTGACTTTATCATCCATGCTGATAGGGGTATCTGCCTGGCCGATCAGCGTAAATTTCACTCAATCAGCCCTGTCGATTTAGGATGATTAGAGTAATTTTGGT